CCCCACCAAATTTGGTTTGGAAGAGGCTAGCCGTAGCCGTGCTTATATGATGGCTAGACTGACCAACAGTAAAAAATAGGCCTACTGAATAGTACACATACATTTTTTGTCTTCAACTCCTAAAGTGTTTGTATTTGAAACGAAACCGAAAGGTGTCTAGGACGGCTTGGGGATAGACCAAGATAACATGTTACCCAATGAGATTAAAAGTTAGTTCTAAGCTCCTTGCATGTTACCCCATTCTCATCGGTGCCTGTGAAAGTGCTCGAATTTCGCTCCCGCCCGGAAGCTTTCTAGGGTGCCCGGAGGCCAGAGATGTGAAATAAATTTGACCAATGCCTCTCGTTGCCCTGATCGTACGGCCAATCAAGAATAGTTATAGAGTTCCCCCAATCGTTCTTACACCCACGGGAGGGGTGGTGTGACATTGGTTGACTGTGCTTATTACACAGATGGGTTGGGCGAAGGGTGAAAGCAAAGGAGACGTTCAATCGCTTCTGTTTATAGGTCAAACAGTGGTCCTATCCTATGAGATGAAAGCACTGGTAGCAATAGTTACATAGGACGGCGCTTGCCATCATAAGAGAGGCTAAGAATTTACTAAGATAGCACTTGAGAAGTGTGACGTTTTGAGTGACTGCTGCTTGCCGACCGGACAAGCGACCCTTGATCAACTTGATCCCATCGGCTGAGCCTCTGGAACCCCCCAACCCACACACACCTTTTCCTGTCAGTTCCCTTGCCTTAGACGGAAAATGTCTATAATGGAATTTTGTCAGGGTCCCTTGCGATTCCGTCTTACTTAGACGGGTTCGGCTTTAACAAATTTGGAAGAGCTTGACATAGGTGGAAAGGATCTAAGAATTACCAAGAATTTGTATGGAGACCAAAATGCTGTTTTAAGACGAGGTAGAGTGCAGTGAATATTATTTAAGCACGCTAAAAATGGTTAGGCAATGACAAGTTTCGTCACCAGACCTCTTTGGCATATTAAGAGAGTAAAACAATAATAATATTACCTAAACATAAAGAGGAAAGTTTAGGTCTTAAAGAGAATTCAGAAGGGAGATAGTATGAAACAATACCACTGAAGCAGTTTAAAAATTAAACTGCTGATTCAGATGTTGTGGTGGGTGTAGAGTTATTTTGACCGTAAAGAAAACAGAAGGCGTGAAAACATCTCTTTAAAAAATCAGTAAAAATCAGTACATGTAAGCGTAATCTCATAAGTAAAGCAAAAATAATCAAACAAGTTCAACCGTTTCAATTTCTAAGATACATTATTATTTCGTACATCCGATATCATATGACATTGTTTCACATAAATATATCGGAGAACTGCAATAGTTACAGACAGTTTCAATCAAATGAGTTCAGTCCTCAAAAGTAGTTACATCTAAAGGCTATAATAATAAGATGTGTGGTCATCTTGACTCTTCTGAGCTACTGTGAATGGTGGACACTTACCAAAATTACTGTGAAATAAAATATAAGCAACAGAAATCGGGTTTCTTGTGAGACTGTTGAGGGTTTCATGAACTGAAAATAATTCAAAAGAGGCAGTGCAGAAAGAATCAGAATGAATCCCACGTACGTGGACCGCTTACTAAGAAAAAAAAGAGACTATAAAACAATTTCTGGGCCACTTGAATCATATGAAGGCAAAAACGCCTCTTTCTCTCACGGG